AGGCTCGGCGGCGGAGCGGGAGCAGGCGCGCAAGGTGGAGGCGGCGCGCGGCCGCGGCGGGAGCGGCACCTACCTCTTGTGCACGTTGCTGCTGGGCCAGGCCGGCGCCAACGCCGCGCTGGCCGGCTGGCTGTGCGCCGCGCTGCACGCCGACCCCAGCCCCCTGGTGGAGGCCGGCCGAGGCGTGCCCTGGGTGCCCGTGCTGCTCTGCACCGGCCTGGTCTTCCTGGGCGGGGAGGTGTTGCCCTACTCGGTGTGCTCCCGCCACGGGCTGGCCATCGCTGCGCGCACGCTTTGCCTCACCCGCTTGCTCATGGCTGCCACCTTCCCGCTCTGCTATCCGCTCAGCCGCCTGCTGGACTGGGCCTTGCGGCAGGAGCTGAGCACCTTCTCCACGCGGGAGCGGCTGATGGAGACGCTGCGTACGGCTGACCCACATGGGGACCTGGTGAGTGGGGAGCTGGCCATGGTGCAAGGCGCGCTGGAGCTGCGTACCAAAGCGGTTGAGGACATCCTGACGCCCCTGACTGACTGCTTCATGTTGCGCTCGGATGCCGTGCTGGACTTTGCCACCATCTCTGAGATCCTTCGCTCCGGCTACACACGCATTCCAGTCTACGAAGGCGAGCGGCGCGACAACATTGTCGACTTGCTATTCGTCAAGGACTTGGCCTTCGTAGATCCTGATGACTGCACCCCTCTGCAGACCGTCACCCGTTTCTACCGCCGGCCGCTACACTGCGTTTTCCATGACACACGACTGGATGCTCTACTTGAGGAGTTCAAGAAGGGTGAGGGCCTGGGGCCCCAGCCGCTCACCTCCCTCAAGCATCACATTCCTCTCTGCTCCCCACGTGCCCTGCTTGCGAGGTACCCTGGGACTCCACAATGCTCCCTCCTGCCTTGCCCTGTCCTCTACCTGCTGCCTAACCTGGGTATTTGTGTTTGTGTGCTCAGGTGTGCATGTGCGTATGCATGTGTGCAGTCTGGTTCTGCATGCCTCTTGCAATTGACTGGAATTACACTAAGATTTGCTTCTAGCTGAATCTATCCACATGGGTATAAAGGATGTTCTCCTAAAGCTGCTTGGGGGAAAATGCATCTCCATAAAGGCATATCTTGCCCCTGCCTTTGTTCTACCTAGTATGCACACTTTACATTAACTGCTCCCACACATTTCCCATCCACTCCTTACATAAGAACTGTGAGCTGCCTGACATTGCCTGTGGCTCAGTGGTAGAGCATCTGCTTTGCACGCTGAGGATGCCAGGTTCCATCCCTGCATTTTCATGTAAAAGAGTCAAGGAGTGATGTGAAGGTGAGACACCTGAGCCTCTGAGGAGCCACTGCCAGTCAGAGTAGACATGCTTACCTTGATATAGACCAGTGGTCTGACTCAGGGCAAGGGACCTCATGTGTTCACATGGAGTGGTTTTCTTTACTCTGTTACAAGAGGAGATGGTTCCATTATAATCCATGCTAGTAGAATGTGGCAGTGTTATGGGTGCTGGTGGAAAGTGTTGCCAAGTCACAGTGAACTTGTGGTGTCCCCATCACAAGGTTTTCAAGGCAGGAGACATTCAGAGATGCTTTGTCATTGTCTTCCTCTGCATTTTGACCCTGGATTTCCCAGTTGGTCTCCAATCCAAATACTAACCAGGGCCAATCCTGCATTGCTTCTAAGATCTGACAAGATCAGGCTAGCCTGTGTCAGATTGCGGTGTATTATGGGTATTCCATGTATTCACAATGTGGTACCTGCTGAAAACAGCCACCTGTCCATTCTTTGCTGAGTTTAAGGTGTACTGGCTGCAACTAAATGAATCCCAGTTTCTCCCTGCACCATTGTCATTCATTTTCAAGAATGGCGCTGAACATTTGATCCTCTCCTGCTCTATATATGCAAGTTTGGGGCTTGTGAATGTGAAATGGGACATGAAATGGAGAAGCAATGCTTTAGTGCAATCAGTGATTGTATGTTGGAATTTTAGCTGGCACATCTGTTTACCACAAAGTCATAGGATATTTCCTTGAAGCTGTGGTCATTTAGGAACTCATTCTGGAGGCAGCGACACCCACAAAAACAATTAACATTTTACCCACATTATTTTTACCTTCTGTGGCATCCAGACACTTAACAAACAAATGGGAACATTAGTGTGCTTTTAGTTGAGATGGTGGTTGGGGGAGAGGGGATGGAGAGCTTTGGCTTCTGCTATGTTGATGAAAAGATTGTAGATAATATTTAAATATTTTCCACTTAAATGAGAAGAATGAGCCAAGTGAGCCAGAGAAGGAGAAGGTCCCAGTGGGACTCCTTTCCTAGTTGGAAGCATCAGGTAGTAGGCAGTGTTCCCTCTAAGCCGAGTTAGTGTGAGCTAGCTCACAGTTTTTTAGCCTCCAGCGCACACATTTGTGTCTGAGCTCAGGAAGGATGGCTCCAGAGCAAATTGATTGATGCAGCAGCCAAATCGCCCACTCACAACTTTAATGCCAGCAGCTCACAAAGTAGAATTTTTGCTCACAAGACTCCACAGCTTAGAGGGAGCACTGGTAGTAGGTGATATGAAAGACCACTTCCTGAGATCCTGGAGAGTCACTGCTGGTCAGTGCTGATTTTGATAAACCAGTGGTCTGATTCAATATAAGGGTGCTTCATATATGTTCATGATATCTGTCAGTTTTGCTGATTGTGTCCATTCCTGAATGCCTCTGCTGGTTGTTCCAAACATAGGCAACCTGGGGCAGCTGCCTGTCCCTCCTGCCTGGGAGGAACTAAATGTTTAGTTTTGAATTTAGCTTTTTTAATCTCCAAGTGTGCACTAAGGCTCCCCTGATATTTGTCAACTTTGTGAAGGTAATATGGAGACCAGTAAGGGCCCTTGATGTTGTTCATGGTCACCAGCTTTCACAGTTTTATTGCAAACCTTGTGAGATTGGGTGCTAAGGCTCCAACAACTGAAATTACAATTACAAAGGAAGATGAAGGGCAACACACCAGTGTGATGTAGTGGATAGCATATCAGACTAGGATCTGAGAGACGCAGGTTCAAATCCTCACTCAGTCACAGAAGATCATTTGATCTTGGGCTTGTCACCCTGTCAGCTTAAGCTACTGCACTGAGTTATTGTGAGGATAAAATGGAGGAGGATGGCATGATGCGAGCCACTTTGGACTCCTACTGGGGAAAGAAGCAAGATATAAATATCTAAATGCAGTGCTTAAAAAATCAAAGAGGCAAATAGCAAGGATACTGCTTCCCTTAGAACTGTGATAAGGGGGAGGTCAGTATTTCTGTGGTGGATACAAAACATGTCTAGTGAAGTAGGATTCAAAATGGCATATGATTCTCAAACTGAGATCTTGCTAGTGCTGAGCGTTATATTGCATAACTTGACTTTGTTGATGCAGAATCATCTTGCTGAGTCATGTTTGGCTTGTTTTTCTCTCAGTACTGCTATCTCTTAGTGAAGAATTTCTGATATAGAGGGCTCTGCCTGAAGCAGTATATTTGGAAAACAGCATTTGCCAGTATTCTCCCATGGAGCTATTTATTTATTTTATTGGTATTTTTACCCCGCCCTCCATATATGCTATGGAGCAGAGAATTCTGTAGGCAGTAGAGCTGAATTTAGGGCACATTTTCTCCTCTTCTTCTCTACCCACCATCTGATCATTGGAACCCTAGCCTAAATCCTCTTTGTTTCATATTATTTGAACAGATTGTGTTCTTTAAAAAAAAATTAAATTAGAGGGAAATTTTATTAAGAGACTGTAATGCTTCAGTTCATAACCAGGGACTGATAGTGCAGTCTTAATAAAAGTTATACCACAGACTTCCGTTAACTTAGAAGGTTGTAGCTTATCCAAAGTGAGTTGTGACTTATGAAAACTTATACTGAAACAAATGTTGTTAATCTTTACGATGCCGCTGGACTTTATTTTTGCTACAACAGACTGACATACCCCTTTACAATTAGCATTGTACTTTCAGTGAGAGAATACTCCTTTATACGTGTGAGTAGAAACTGGAAAATTGGACCAATTGCTGAGGTGCCTTGACTTCCTTGGCTGGTTGTTTTATGTTGTCACAGAATAAGTGATTCCTTGTCATGCCTTTCTTGCCCTCCTGTCATTATGAACTCCCTTTCACCAGCATTGAGTATCATAGCATTATCTCCGTTGGTCTGCAGTCCCTTCATTTGCAACAAGCGGAATGGACCTCTCCCCCAAGCTTCACATTGTAACGAAAACCTGAAGTTTGGTCACAGTCAAACTGTTTCTCTGTCCTTTGCTCTATATAACTTATTTCAAGAGGGGCTTGCTATTCACTGCTGCCAACAGCAAATCCTCAAGTATTCAGTTTCTGGCCTTTGTTGTGCGTGGATGGACAGTGCACTAGAGCTTCTTATTTCTGTTATTTCATTCCTTGCAGGAAAATCGCATCTGGCAATTGTGCAGCGGGTGAATAATGAAGGGGAAGGAGATCCCTTCTACGAAGTGATGGGGATTGTCACCCTTGAAGATGTGATTGAGGAAATCATCAAATCAGAGATTCTGGATGAAACAGACCTCTACAGTGAGTATTTGATGCACTCTGATATTTCCCCAGGACTGGTTCTAGAGAGAGGCATGTCTAGTCAGAACCCCAAAAGTATTGAGAGTGGTGGTATAAGCCCCTCTTCCATACCTTGGAGTCTATTGATTATTACATTTCCATTGTTAATGTTTCTTCTGTTGTACATCCAGTTGTGTGTCCCTTCAGCAAACAAATGGAAGGGATAAATGGTGAATGTTGTGCAGCTGGCCCTGGCAGTGGGGAAAATTCCACCGCCTCAGACCCAGCCTTCATGGGGTAGCTCTCTGTAGGAGAGGGAGGGCCAGTCATCAGGATAGACTGTATGTATGATGTATCTACGGAGAGTGGAGCTACTGCTCCCACCAAGGGCTGTGACAGTGCTTTGTAAGCAACTTTCGTCATGGGGGAAACAGCTGTGGGTGGAGATGGGAATCCTGATACTTGCTGCCAGGTTCTATTCTTGAACATCTCTTGAAACTGTTTGAGCTAAGCCTTGAAACACCAATTCCAGTAGCATCTCAGGATGTGCAAAATGCCTTTGTGGAAATGAAATTCAAATGTGTTTCTTGCAGACAAGTATGAACGACAATTACTGTATACAATAACTTCATTGCCCTTGAAAGAAGGAATATTGATGAACATCTAATCAGGTCTGGTTGATAGTGATGGGGGCGGTGAGTTGGCTAGGCTAATCGCAGCTTAGATTCATCTGCCTGAACATGATCAGAAAATCCCGAAAGCTTATGAGGAGAGGGCATCCTAGTCTAAAAATCTTTGGTCAGTCTTGAAATTATAGTCTTGAAATCTCCTTAACCAGAAACCGAGAAGTTTCAGACTAGGAGACTGGAGGAACACAGTGCCTGTTGTGGATTTACAGTGCCTTTATTAGAAGTATGATCTTTGTTGGTCTGACTTTTAGCTGACAGTGAGAAGAAGGAGCGGGCACCCCATCGGGGTCGGAAACCCCACGACTTCTCCATTTTCCGGCTTTCAGATACTGAGATAAGAGTGAAGATTTCTCCTCAGCTTCTGCTGGCCACACATCGCTTCATGGCTACAGGTATCCATCCTTTCCCAGATATCCAGACCTTCTAAAATACCTGTAGTGACAAGGGTGTTATCCTCTCTTGGTACCTCTGGCAAGTCTGTGCCTCGGGTTGCTTGGTCCCCCCCTGGCGACTGGGGGGGGGGGGGGGGGGGGGGGGATGGGGGGGTAGGGTTGCCAGATTCAGGTTGGGGAACTCCTGGAGATTTGAGGATGGAGCCTGGGGAGGACAGGGACCTCAGTGAGGTACAATGCCAGAGAGTCAACCTTCCAAAACATCCATTTTCTCCAGGGGAACTGATCTCTGTACTCTGGAGATGCTGTAGTTCCAGGCGATCCCCAGAGGCCCCCGGAGGCTGGCATCTCTCCGTGTGCCTCAGACCAGTATTGTCTGCATGCCTTGAGCAGTTATGTTTTCCCCCCGTGTTTTCTTCAGCTTTCCTCCCTCAAGACTTCCCTTATAAGTGAAAGATATGAAAGAAAGGTTCCCATTTTGTATAGCTGCTTCACGTGACCACATGGTGCGGCCTGTACAGGACCTTTCCTTTTCCTGACCTGAGCTTCCGTAACACACAGTGAGCATGATGGGTCAAACAAGTAAAAACATTTTAAGTCCCTCATAAACACTTGCTGCCTTCCTCCCTCTTTCTCCTGCAGAGGTGGAGCCCTTCAAGCCACCATATCTCTCAGAGAAGATCCTGCTGCGGCTCCTCAAACAGCCCAATGTCATCCAGGAAATGAAATTTGACCACAAGAACAAACGAGCACCCGAACACTACCTCTATCAGCGCAACAGGCCTGTTGACTACTTTGTGCTCATCTTGCAGGTTTGTCAAGGCCTCTGGTAGAAGTCATTCATCCCAGAGGGTGGAGGCTGCTTAGTATGGGCATCCCTACCTCTGTGCTGTGGCTTCACTTCTCTGGCAAGATCTTTTTTTAAAGGTGCACTCTAGAGACTGGAGCACATAGTGGGCGGTTATCCTAATGTTCTATAATATCAGAGTCCTAGCTCTGGTATTATAGAACGACAGTACTCACCTGGGTATTCAGTTTTCAAGCTTCAGGTTCTCTCTCAACAATGGATGATGTTTGGCGGTGTCATGGGACGGACTGCAGATTGGTGGTAGAAGCACGTGGTTTGTGTGCTTCCTTTTTTCAGGCAGAAGCTCTTCAGCTTCCTTGTTTCAGGAATTCTACTGTATGGGAAAGAGAGTACAGTGGAGGACTACTTTAGGCTCTCATCTCCATTTAAAGGATATGTTGGGTAATAGATGTTGGGAAAGACATTTCTCTGCCTGAGGCCCTGGAAAGCTGCTGCCACCAGTCAGAGTAGAGTAGGCAGTGCATATATAGAACAGTGGTATAAGGCAACTTTATGTAATATGTGTGTGTGTGTGTGTATATATATATGTTCATGGTTGTAATATGATTTAAAAATTCAGTGTACCCTTGTTAATTCTGTTGAGTGGCAACTTTATGTAATGTGTGTGTGTATGTATATATAGGAGCTGCGGTGGCTCAAGTGGTTAAGACGCTGAACTGCAGGCTGTGGAAGGTCAGTAGTTCAGCAGTTCGAGACCCGGGTGCCGCATGACAGAGTGAGCTCCCGTCTCTAGTTCCAGCTCCTGCCAACCTAGCAGTTCGAAAGCAAGAAATTGCAAGTAGATAAATAGGTACCACTTCGGTGGGAAGGTAACAGCATTCCGTGCGCCTTGGTGTCTAGTCATGCTGGCCACATGACCACAGAAACGTCTTCGGACAGCGCTGACTCTTCGGCTTTGAAACGGAGATGAGCACCGCAACCCTAGAGTTGGATTCGACTGGCTTTCGAGCAAGGGAACCTTTACGTTTTACTATGTGTATATATATATGTGTGTGTGTGTGTGTGTGTGTGTGTTCATGGTTGTAATATGATTTAAAAATTCATTGTACCCTTGTTAATTCTGTTGAGTGGCATTTCTTCCTAATACTATTTTCACTTCTATTCATCAGTCTTGTCGTTCAGCCACTCCAACTACACTGGATATGGGTTTTCCCAGTTCTTCCCCTAGCCTGTTTCCTCCATTGTCCCAAGCCCCACCCCTCTGATATCGCGAACATTCTTAACTTGCATCTCTTATTGTCGGTCTTTGTGAAGAACCACCTACAAGTCTCTGTCGACTGCACAGGGCTTGTCTTTGCCCAGAATAGAGCTGTTAGGCTGCAGAGTTTTAGTTTGTTGGTTTTAATGAATGACCATGTCCTGTGAGGACAAGGAATGTTAGTGTCACTGAATTGCATTTTCCTTTTTTTTCTAGGGAAGAGTGGAGGTGGAAGTAGGAAAAGAAGGCCTACGTTTCGAGAATGGAGCCTTTACTTACTATGGCATCCCAGCCATCATGGCTGTTGTTTGCTCAGGTAAGAGCAGGGGCCAGACCGCGGAGTAGGATATATCAGGTAACAAAACCTCCTGTTCGGTATTCCAATTAAAGTAGCCAAAATGCATAGCTTACATAAATTTGCAGATAGATTCGGGTGGGTAGCTGTGTTGGTCTGAAGCAGCAGAACAAAGTTCATCCAGTGGCACCTTCAAGGCCAACAAAGTTTTATTCAAGGTATAAGCTTTTGTGTGCATGCACACTTCTTCAGACACAATGAAATGGAAGTTACCAGTCCATACATATAAATGTAAGTTACCAGTCCATACATATAGGCGGGAGCTGGTCCATGGGGTCGCAAAGAGTCGGACGACTGTACGACTGAACAACAACAACAACACATATAGGCAGAGGGTGAGCAGCAAATTAGCATACGACATAATGAAGATGTTTAACAGATGCAAGGACCAAACAGGAATAACAAGCTCAGTTTATATGGTTACCATTTGTTTGGCTTTAATTTCTGGGGGTAAAGATAGTGAAAGAAAGAAATATATCAGCATTGGAGATTGACGGGCAGATGTACCCTTCTTGTGGACTGGAGAAATGTGTGTGCACATGAAATCTTATACCTTGAATAAAACTTTGTTGGTCTTAAAGTTGCCACTGGACTCAAACTTTGTTATAGGTCTGCAGAATTCATTCCTACTTACTTAGAGCCAAAAAGGAAAGGTGGGTATAAATATTTTAATAAACAAAGCTGGATGTTCACAAAAAGGACTGTTTTACTGTATGCTTTGGTGGCAGCAAAGAAAGTTGTTAGAATGAGCACCAATATTCATGGAAAGAAAATATAAATGTAATGGGTAAATTTGAGTAGCTGTACTGGACACAGAAACCCTAGCTACTGGGCAGCCTTTCATGATAAGAGGCAGACTTGAGCTTTCAGAAGGCATTGTGGATGCATTCAGACCCCTAAGGATTAAAACTTTAAAAATGAGAATGCTGGCATAACGCTGGAGGAAAGCTGAACTGTGTGTCAGATTTTAATTCTGTGCTGTATTTTTGTTTTATTCTACATGATCAGTCTAGCCAGAAGGAATGATGAAGGTGGTCGGGTGGAAGTCCCATGGCTTCAGAACCATGGAACAAATTATTTGCCTTGTTAGGGAAGGTCTTTATAGCCATTTAGATAGTAGCAATATACCTGGGTTTTCCTCATAGGATTGGGAAATAATGCCAGAAAGTTGCATGTTTGGAGGAAAGACATCTATGGGGAGGACACTTCCTTGACCTTCTAAACATAGGCTTTGTAAAACAGAGTCAAAATGTTCCTGTGACAAGAAGGCTGAGGCCAATCCAGAGATGCTGCAGTTGGTATGACACATCTGACTTTTCACTCCCTTGAGAAAGTGTCTCTTCCCTGTACAGGGTAGGGGCGGTGCAACAAAGCTCTAACTGGGACTCATCTTCCATGTGCCCCCTATATTTTCAGATAATGATGTGCGCAAAATGAGCAGCCTGGCGGGATCTTCTTTCCTGTGTATGTATCTTTTCAGTGACCTTTTGTTGTTGAGGGGGCGAACAGGGTGTGGTTTGGGCTGGGCCTTCCTCGATCCATTGGATATGGGTCACAGGATAAAGGACTGGGCTTTGTGTTTCAGTCAGGTAATTACTGTGACCCACCTCTCCCCCTCACAGGCTTGGAACGCGCAGCCTACATTTTCCTTGGGATTTATTTATTTTCATTTATTTATTTAATTTATACCCTGCCCTGTCCCATGAATGGGCTCATAAAACCCATAAACAAAAAAACCCCCTAAAACCATAAAACAATAGATGGCACAATAGACAGTAAAAAAAACCCCATGCTTCATGTCAGGCAGAAATAGGTACCCCAGGAAACTCCAGTGCCCAAATAGTATCCAAAGCAGCAGGGCGCTAGGAAAGGGCCATGAACAGGGGAGGCCAGAATGGTTGAAAGTCTGCCACCTCAGCCAAAAGCCTGGTGGAACAGCTTCATTTTACGGGCCCTGTGGAACTGTAGCAAATCCCACAGGGCCCTGATCTCAAGTGGGAGCTTGTTCTGCCAGGTTGGGGCCAGGGCCGAAAAAGCCCTGGCCCTGGTTGAGGCTAGGCGGACATCCCTCGAGTCGGGGATCACCAGGAGGTACCGGTCAGAAGAGCGTAAAGCTCTCTGGGGCTCATAGGGGGAGAGGCAGTCCCACAGGTAGGATGGTCCCAGGCCGCATAGGGCTTTAAAGGTCAAGATCATAACCTTCAACAGGATCCGGTATTCAATCGCCAGCCATTGCAGTTGGCACAACACCGGCTGAATGTGTGCCCACATTTTATATTGGATACTCAGTATAGTTATTATCTCCAGTTTATTATTTGAAGCTGTTTTCAGCACGTAACTCATAAAACACAATAATAAAACATGTTAATCGTGGCGAATGACTTTGAAAAAAAGAAACTAATCTTTTGTGAGATTTCTGTGGCAGCCACCTCCCTACGGAATGGGCTGCCAGTGCTCTTCTTCAAATAACATGTCCATTATGGGTGTGATATTTAGATGGTCTTTTGCCTTACTTGGATTTAATGTGATGATATATGAATTTTGGTTGTCTGTCTGGTTTTATTGTAAACCTTTTTGAGCAATAAGCAGTATACAAATTTAGAAAATATATAAATTCCTCAAATAACCCCGTAGCCATGAATTTTTTCCAGGCAGGGGTGCTAATGAAATGAAATGAAATTTATAGTAAACATCAAATTAAAAGTAAACATTAAATGAAATTAAAATTACAAATTTAAAGAGCAGACAAGGGGTGAGTGGAAGGAAGGAGGGTTACAGAAATAGCTTTGGGGTACTGCGGCAGCGCGGCCATCCACTCCCCTCCCAGCCCTCTGCAGTCCTTCAGGAATAAGAGCCTGCAGTTCAATGATCCCCAAAGATGAACTCCACTGCTGCAGAAGAGCTCACCAGAAAAGCTCTGCTTTAAGGGGAAGGGGCTAAAATAGGCTCTAAGAAAACATGCTGAGAGCAGATTCGCCTTCCTACTGCTCACCTGACAATCCGCTGATGATCCCTTTAAAATACAGCAGACAGCAAAGGGAGATGACTCTTGCAGGCCACCGTAGAAGAGGGGAGGGGAAGGAGAGCGATGCCCTCCCCCTGCAGCATTTTTCTCCACTGCAATGGGGCATTGCAGCAGAGTAGCGACGCGCGCCCCAGGCTCCCTCCCCACCCTGCCAACACAAGGAAGGAAGGCCTTTGAGCCGGCTACAGGGCTGGAGGTGGCCTGAGGCAGCGCGGCTTAGGAAGCCCCACAAGGCGGTGGGGTGGGGGGCTTTAGGGCACCTGTTGGGGCTTTGGGGGGGTGCGCCTATTGGGGCTTTGGGGTATGCAATAGGGTGCTCAGCCCCCAAAGCCCCACCACTGGCTACGGCCCTGCTACTCAGCTATCTGCATTTCATCATGTGTATTCCTAGTGCCACCTTGTGGTGTTTTGTGTAATTGCATCACACATCTATAAATACTCGTGAAGTATTTATTAAATCCACTTTTTCTTTTCTCATGAGTTTAAATGTGAGCAATGAAATATGGTGTGGCATGTGTAGTGAAATCTCTTCTACATTTTCTTTGGGCCCACAAATAGGTCAGAGATGAGGGCTTATCCGAGTTCTCTTCTGTATTGCATATGGCAGGTTGCCTGATGAATCCTACAATGCCACCTATTCATTTTATAGCTGCAAGGAATGCAGCTCTTCCTTAGTCATAAGTCAGTTGTGGATTATGTCTTGCTATGTGGGAGCATCATGAAGTCAGTTTCCTATTGTCGATCCTATGAGTTCACACTCTCTTCCTTTTAAACCCATTCTCTTGCGCCTCCTTTTCTTACCCTGGTTCTTATCTACTGGTCCTACCCCTCCTCTCTAGTACCTGTGTCCATGTCTCGTACCTTCGCCTTCAGCAGAGGGGACTCTTTGGCTGGCTCCCCAGGTAACTGTATACAGAGCATCCAAGAACAGGTTCCCATTCTGCCTTAATCTGTGTTTATCTGTGAACCTCTCACCCAAAACACAAAGTATTGAAGAGGTTTGGAAGAGTACGTGCTTCAGCATGCATGCGCAACTGAATAGTAAATGCTTCTACATAAATCGTACTTCTGAGAGCTGTACCTGTTTGCCAGTGCTAAGCAATGTTCTTTATCCTGAACTGTAAATAGAGGACCATGTTTTCATACTGCATCATAGATAAGCTTGCACTTGGGTATGCTGCATATGAAGATGAGTGTACTGTGTGAACGTATGCATGTGCAGAAACACATTGTCTAGATCCAGAAGACCGCCTTTTCTTGACCCATTCCAAACAAGTTTTGGACTAGGATCTGAGACACCTAGGTTCAAATCCCCACTCTGCCATGGAAGCTGACTGGGTAACTCTGGGCTGGTTGTGAATGGGACTGTTGTGAGGATTTTATGGACGGGAGAATAGCCCTGTAAGCTGCTTTGGGTTCCCTTAAGGGGAGAAGCAGGGTAGGAATAACTTGAATAAGTCTGGGAATAGTAGCACAGGTCATGAAGGTGTCAGAAGATCTTAAGGGGATCCAAGACTGAAATCTGAGTAGCTTCAACAGAGAAGCAGAACAAAGCAGAATATCTTACTAACCGATGATGTAGATGGGGCCACTCCAGCCATAGAGACCAATCAGGCAGCTTCGAGCCTGGGGAGCCAAAATTCTGCCGAGGTTTGCTTCAGCTACCCCTGGACAGAGAGACATGCTGCTTGTTCTTTTAGAAGAGGAGCCTATGGGCAGCTGAATGGCTAGCTGATCAACGGGGTTTCCAGCCCTTGCTGTCCAGTGGACAAAGTTGAGTGTCTTTTGATAGCCAGAGGTTCATAGGAGTACAGACACAATTATAAAGGAAAGGAGGCCAATAAATAACAGACATTAAAAATACATTAATAACCTGAAGGGTGAAGGTACTAGCACAAGGCTGAGAGAACCCAGTCCCACAGGCAAATCTGCCATGAAATGGTCATCAGGAGTGTTCCCTCTAAGCTGAGTTAGTGTGAGCTAGCTCACAGTTTTTTAGCCTCCAGCTCACAGATTTTTGTCTTAGCTCAGGAAGGATAACTCCAGAGCAAACAAATTTATGCAGTAACCAAATCACTCACAACTTTAATGCCAGTAGCTCACAAAGTAGAATTTTTGCTCACAAGACTCCACAGCTTAGAGGGAGCATCAGGCTGTTTTTCCCTCCCTTATTTATTGAGTTAGAATATTTTTGCTTTGGTAATTTAATTTTCTGTGGACTTCCAAGTGCTACTAGATTCCTTCTTTATTCATTAGACAGACAGACACATACAGAGTGCTGTTCTTAGAAGAATGGTCCAGGGAAATACACATCCAGCTGTTTTTGTTGTCGATCTTTGCCCAGTTCAACCCAATTACTGCAGTCACATCTGCCACTCAAAACTGGGAAGTCCTAACTGTAATAGAAACAGTCTCATGCCATCAAATCCATTTGGTAGACCTGTCCTCTTTCCTTTATTAAATATCAAGTGAGAGGGAGCAGGCATTTATACCATGCCTCTTCCATCCTGCTGTCTTCTTGCAGAAGGTAGAGCTAGTGCTGTGACCTGAATCCATGAATAATCCCTTAAATATCCCTACTGCTAATATCCTCTCTGCATCATCTGCTGGGGGGGGGGCATGGGGGGCATACATTACATGGTTTTTGAGGAGGGTGGGTGCTGAAACAAAAAGGAATTTCTGGCGAACATCCTGCTCCCTCCAGCACTGTTGCATGGTCTCTGGTGTTTGCATGGTGCAGTGCCCAATTTCTTGTTTTGCCATGGTCCATCCCTTTGGTTCTGTTCTCAGCAAATGCTCAGCACTTTCCCCCTTAACAGCCGTATGGTGCTACCCCCCCACCCTAGGGCACTACTCTTAATGTGCACAGCTGGCGATCACTGCAGATAAGCAAAAATGTGAACCTAAAGGAAGACCAGCTTCTCATAAGAAGCCCAAGAGACGAAGCAATACTTCCTTGTGCCAAAAAGCACTCCTTTCACTGCCTTGGCCCTTTTTGCTGTTGCATCGTCATTGCCAGGGATAACAGTTTTGCTCACTGCTTCCTCTCTTGTCTCCAGTGAACCAGTCACCTTCCCGATGCAGTGGCCTGAATCGCTCTGAATCCCCTATCCGAGAGCGTAATGACTACGGAGGCAGCAGCACGCAGCTCCACAGTGGCAGCAACAACAACATCTACACGCCAGACTACTCCGTACACATCCTCTGTGATGTACAGTTTATCAAGGTATCTTCTGGACTTTGTGATCGAAGCAAAATTTTGAGACAGGAGATAATGAAGGAAAGATGGTTTGATGGCTAGTGAGGAGGCCATTCCAGACATGGGTGCAAAAGAAGGGAAGGAATGAAGTAAAATTGTGAGGAGGAAAAGGTGAGAAGCAAAATGAAAGGTGCTTGGACAAAACAATATAGTGAGGATCAGAGTGCTGGAGAGTGTGTGAGGTGTAAGGATAGAGGTCACAGTGGAAGGCAACAGACAGGCACTACGGAAGGTTCCTAAATCTGGAGAGAGATGATTCTTAGCAGCACCATTCTGAAGAAAAATGAAAGGGAAAACAAATGGGAGGGTTTCCAGTAGTAAGGTGGGAAGTGACCTAGATGTAGATGACGGAACGATTTTAGAGACACTGAAAAAAGATGAAACAAGCATCATCCATCTGAACAGTGATTCCTCTGCCCCATGCCTAGATCACTCGGCAGCAGTACCAGACTGCACTGGGTGCTAGCCACATGGACAGCTCACCCCAGACCCCTGACTTGGAGGTTTTTAATGATGGAGACTCCACAAAGGCTCCCACAGTCAGGGGCACTCCACAGACACCCAAGGATGATCCTGCCATTCTCCTGAATATGAGAAACAGCATTGTAGGTAGGTACAGCAAAGGGATGTGTTCCAACAGAGCTGTGTGTTTCACAGTGCACATTCCTGCACAAGCTCAGAGATTGTTCTTGAAACATGTAAATTAGCAAAAGATTTGCATCCACCAAACTGGGTCAAAAGCAGACCAAACCGGGAAGGTTAAGCTAATGTGGATGTTACACAGTCAAAGTCATGTCTTGTATGATTGCGCTGTCATCCCTGATCTTTAGCCATGTGGTCACACTTATGTTTGAAATGTCATGTGTATGCCCTGACACGCATACAGTTGTGGCTTCCCCGATCTGCATCTTGCAGTTAGCCATTCAGATGGCCTGAAGAGCCCCACAGACTCTGTGTTTTTGCACATGGAGGGAATTCCTCACATCCAAGAGGAGCTGGCAGAGGGCACAGAAAGCAACACACAGCAGAGTGAGTATTTGAAGGGCACACTAATGCAGGCCAGCCAGGGGGAGGGATGTCTGAGGATATGAACTGATCCCAGCCTTATCCTGATTGATGTTACCTTACAGAAAACGAGGGCTGTGCTGTCACACTGGAACCTGAGGCTTCAAACAGAGAAATGGAGACCAGCACTTCCCCAAGTGGTCCCGAGGAGCCCCTAGGCAAGAAATTGCTCCGTACCCTCAGTGAGTCACACCACAGCTCTTGAAGTGGGGGAATGGGAGGGGAGTTGACCCTGTCATATTTCTGAGAGATACAGGTACACAATTCTGATTGCTGCCGCCTAGTTCTGCTCACTCATGTGTGTGTACAGACTACAGGTGTGCATTCAGCATAAACCAAGCCGAATAAATACCTGAATATCAGTATTATTCGGGTATTCTCTAAACAAAATCAGATTTGAGAATCTGATTTGGCTACTGATATAGTGAGCCCGAATAAAAGCCAAAAACTATTCGGCTTTTATTCGTGTCTAATCAATAATAATGAATAGCAGCTGTTGGGCTAAAATGGCTGCCAGCCATTTAAACCTAACAGCAGACAGGTGGACTCATTGGGCTGTCAGGTTTAAATGGCTGCCAGCCATTTCATGGCCCCGGACTGTCCAATAGAGCCCTCCCAGGAGCCAGTCCTGTGTGGAGAACTCTCCCCGAGGCCAGGCGAATGGATCTTCCCTCCCTCCTTTCTGCTGGCGGTGGCTCCCAGAGGCCAGCAGACTTGGGGAGGGGATATGAGATCTTCTCCCCCTCCATTCTGCTGGTGGCAGGGAGAAAACTGGCCCATGAAATGGCACCCATCCATTTAAACCTGTGCCAAATGAGATTAAACCGTGATAGCCTTACTACTCAACAATACTTGCAAATACCTTTAATATTCTTATATATTTTTAAATAAACAGTGCAGTACATATAGCATATGAAAAATATAAATAATTTTATAGAAAAATACAATCTTTGTTTCCAAAGCCTTAGGAAAATTCATCAGTAGGAACAAAGTCCTTATACTGAAAGTTCATCAAATGGGAAGAGTCTTCTTAAGGAGGAGGAGATGCATTTCACAATTTCATTGGTGTATCCTAATTTAGAAGAACATCAGGTCCTACTGCTGAACATCAAGTCCTACTGACACAGTTTCCAGCATAAAGCTGTGCTTTAAAGATTTTTTCAAAGCAGGGCAAGTTCAGGATGCAAGCAACATGTTTTGCAAATTAATGGCAGCAAATTAAACATGAGAACTAGTTTAGTGTTGCTATTAATCATACCCCTGGTACAGACATCAAGGGGCAGGCCTTTCAACTGTGGGGAAAACTCCCATTTCCCCTCTCTTAATCTGTCAAAGGAGCTGCGGTGGCTCAAGTGGTTAAGACGCTGAACTGCAGGCTATGGAAGGTCGGTAGTTCAGCAGTTCGAGACCCGGGTGCCGCATGACGGAGTGAGCTCCCGTCTCTAGTTCCAGCTCCTGCCAACCTAGCAGTTCGAAAGCAAGAAATTGCAAGTAGATAAATAGGGACCACTTCGGTGGGAAGGTGACAGCATTCCGTGCGCCTTGGTGTTTAATCATGCCGGCCACATGACCTTGGAAACGTCTTCGGACAGCGCTGGCTCTTCGGCTTTGAAATGGAGATGAGCACCGCAACCCTAGAGTCGGATTCGACTGGCTTTCGAGCAAGGGAACCTTTACCTTTTTAATCTGTCAAAGGCATCCCCTGCCCCCACTTCCGGCATGATGTCTGCTTTGCTGTTGTTGTTTTGCCAAGTACCCAGCAGGTTAGAATATGCAAACATTTGCTTGGTGTTTAATTCTGTAAAAACTCCCCCTCCCAACTTAAATGTTGAAATCTGCTCTGGTTAGGGAAGGAGGGGATATGTGGCATTGTAACTGACACACAGGTTGGCCAGTCAGCATTATGCACAGTTCTTCTCTGAGAAAGGAAGGAGGGCTGTTTATGATTGACATATAGGCCAGACAGTTAGTGCTGTCTAAGCTAGAATAAGTTCTTCTTCAAGCCTTATCCTCATAAGGCAGCTGTATTCGTACCAGATATGTGGTGAGTGTGCTTCCACAATGGGCTCACTGCTCCAGTTATATATGTCTGTATGCCTCCCTTGAGAGCCACTGGGCATTTCCAAGGGAAAAAAG